TTGACCTTGAAGACAGAATACACAGAAACAGCTTATGATCATAAATCTCTCAGAAGAATATGAAAAAATAAAAACCCTGAATACCATAATACAGGGGAACTGCCCAGAATCCTAAATATAGACAGTAAAACTCTAGTTGAAAGAATTTACCGATTGCCTTGAGGAACTGATAACAATACAGTGTGTGCTCCAGGAGCCTTGTAATACATCCCCAGCTAATGAAACATTCCATAATTGTAATCCATGAGTACTTGATGATTCCTTTTTGGTAAGAAGTTGCTTTAATTTCCATGAAGCCTTTATAACTTCAACCTCCCTGTTATGTGTGTCTTTTAGAATTAGACCTGTGTTATTCACTCTATTACAAATACCACTTGGTGTTAACTCATCAAGTAAACAGTTACATTTATTGAATGCTTATATTGTGAGAAAATAGATTTAAATGTTTAGTATCCTGGAAGAGAATTGTGTGCACCTGGTTTGAAGTAGTTGATAATTAAATAGTGATGAAAAGTCCATTTCATTGACAGTATGAAAAACATCTATCCCCTAACTAATATTGCTAACTTTTAAAATGTCTAATTCAAAGGGTAGAGAATCCTTTTGTAGCAGTCTTGTGAATTTTTTTTAAAACACCAATTGAACGTCACTAATTTCAAAATTCCAAATTGACATCCTAAAGCTAACAATTTTTTTTCTGGTCTACATCCTGTTATTTCATTTGTCCACAGAAGTCCTAGTATAGAAACTTCTTCCACCCATGTACGTTGACAATTCATCTGTAACTTATATTAGAAAGTTGCATGAGGCACTGTGAGGTTGTGTCTGCCAATGGTCATTTAGCCAGTAGGTGTTACAAGCAGGATCTGAACCCAGTTTTCCTAATTCCAAGACCAGTCCAACTATATACTATGTCATGCTGCCTCTCAACCTAATAAACATATAGGTTGTTCAGTTTTCCAAAATGAGAGTACTGCTTTTAAATAAATGCAAATATTTTAACTCTTTACTCACCTAAGTCAGAATATACTCTTGTAAGGGAGTGGTCCTGAAAGCATTCACCACATCACAGAAAAAGTATGGTAATGAAGCTAAACTAACTGTAAAATGGCAACTCTCCATCTCTTTGTGAGGTACAAATTAGTCACCAGACTGAATCAAAAAGGGAACAATGCTTTAGGATTAGGAATAATAAACTATGCCTCAGAGTGACTTTTAAAAGTGAGTTTGAAGACAGATTCAAAGGAAGAGACAAGTTCAAAGAGGAAGCCAACTCCCTAAGGGAGGAGCAGAAGCTTAAAGGTAGAGAAAGGAAAACTTTAGGAAGTTACACGGGGGGGGCACAACTTCCACAAAGGTGTCAGCACTCTGGGAAGGAGGCTGCCTAGGCCAAACTTAGCATAAAGGTGACTCAGGAGAGAATCTGTGTTGTAGATTGCCTCTCCCACCTCCCTGCCATGTACTGACACTAAAGTGGTAACCCTACAACTCTCTTCCCATTGAGTTCTACAGCAGGACTCTAAGGCCTATTTTTTTTTTTTTTTAGGAAAGTGGGGAGGGAGGGAAGGAGAAGAGAATATGTTTACCTTTGTTTTAAATGTTCACTTTGTTTTTATAGACGATAGTAACCATTGGCAATTGCTAGTTAAGATTGTATTTATTGGGAATACGGCTGGAAGGAAGCAACTGCTGTGGGAGGGAAATATTCCTAGAGAAGACAGTCAGGTTTAACACCTGTTTTGCCAGAAGCCTGTCTCTGACTGGGGTCTTGAAGGTGACAAAAATGACAAAGAGTATCATATATCTTTTGATACTACCCAGAGTTAAGAAATGTTTATCCTGGGAAAACCCCTCTGTCCAACACTCTAGACATGTAAATGCAGTCAAGTTAAATACCCAAGTATAGTAGCTGATATTAGCATTCTAACAGTAATATCTAACCCTTGTATTAATCTATCATTAGTATCCTCACTGAAACTTTCCAAAGACTTTGAGAAAACATTCTCCTTTTAAAAAACATGCTTCTCTTAATGCACTTTTCTTCTGGAACTTATTTGGGTATATTAAATAATTAAACCATACTTCATGTAAACCTTGCTTCTGATTGAGGTAATACTGATTTCAGCAAGATCAATAAATTCTTTCTTAATCCTGACTTTTTTTTTGGCTAAGCAATGGGGTTAAGTGACTTGCCCAGGGTCACACAGCTAGTAAGTGTTAATGTGTCTGAGGCCGAATTTGAACTCAGGTCCTCTTGAATCCAGGGCTGGTGCTCTATCCACTGCACCACCTAGCTGTACCACTTAATCCTGATTTTTTACCAATATATTGATTACATACTCTTTGTTTTGCTAAAATAACATTTCTTAAATATAGGTTTTTGTTTTGTGTCTAATAGTGGAAAAGCCATTCTTCTAGGAGCTGTGGGTAAGCTATAGAAAAATAAAGGAAAAGTGGAAAAAACCAGTAGTGACATTCATTGATGGAGGAATGAATACCTTTAATTCTACATAAAGCTCCTGTGTTTGGAGTAGAAATGCATCCATAAGAGAATTTGAAACTCTCTTATCCTATGAAATATAGGAAAGCTGGATACATCTGAATCTGCTAGCCAAGACTAATTTGGGCAAAAGCAAGAGTTAGCAGTTAAGCCTTTCCCTGAAATGTTGTTTGTGCTTTTCAGTGCTTAAGATATAAGTTTTCTTTTAGAAAGATTAAGGGAACACAGAGACTGGTACTAGCATGGGGGGAACCAGTGCTAAGAGAAAAGAAAGAATGGTAGCTGTTCAAGATTGGTGACTTACTACCACAATATGGAGATATTGGGTGGAAGCAACCCCCATCACTTTGAATTTGGATAAGGTGGTCCTACTATCTTTTGCTTCTGGACTTAAGACTAGGAAGACAGTTTATGGGGGTGAGACCAAAGGGAAGAGGGAGAGTTCTGATCTATTTCATCAAGATGTTCCACAGAGCTCCTGCTCCCTCTTCCCAAAGTTTATCTCTTTGTTCCCAGCCCTCAGGTGATCGATCACCTTCCTACTCTGTCTCTCAAAAAGTAACAACCAAAATAAGGAAACATTAAGCAGCTACTATATGCAGGTGCTTTATAAACATAATTTCTTTTGTTTTTTTGCTTAGGCAATTGGGGTTAAGTGACTTGCCCAGGGTCACACAGCTAGTAAGTGTTAAATGTCTGAGGTCAGATTTGAGCTTAGGTCCTCCTGACTCCAAAGCCAGAGCTCTATCCACTGTGCCACCTAGCTGCCCCTTACAAACATAATTTCATTTGAGCCTCACAATCACCCTGCAAAATAAGTATCATTAACTCCATTTTACAGTTGAGGAAACTGAGGCAAACATTGGTTAGGTGATTTGCCCCTGGGTCATACAACTACTAGGTGTGTGTGAAGTGATATGTGAACCCAGATTTTCCTGACCCTAGGCCTGGTGCTCTATCCACTGTGGCACCTAGCTGTGTCTTGGAATACAGTTAAGGGAAATGCCATGTTTCAGGTCAGATGAGTCAGGCATTCTATACAATATTATGACAGTGGTACAGAGGCTAAGGAAGCTTGGAAGTGTGACATGATCTGCCCCAATCTGTCCCTTGTGGTACTTTGTGGGAGGAGTTAGTTGCCTACCATACTATCAGTGTCAAAATGCTGGAAATGCATCATTAATTTATCTAAACACCTCACAGCAGTTTCCATCATTTGAGGTAAAGAAATCCATAAATTTACTTCTTGGAATAATACAATACTTAATTACACAAGACAGTATATTTGCTACTTTACTCTCCAGTAAAGCATTTTTATTTGTCTAAAAACTAGCTCTAAAGCTTCAAGGGTTAAATCCTTGTTCTAAGTATTCAACAGTTAAGGTGAATATGAACTTGTTTCTTCTATATTAGCACTATAGAAGAAATCATCTCTACTGGCAAAGAACCCTATTTTTACTCTGTCTTTACAATGAAGATCTTCTTTTGGGCATTTTAGTTGCTCTTCTCTGGACCTTTTAGAGCCCTAGGTTCAAATCTCAGCTCCACCACTTTCTACATTGTCTTGGATAACCTCCTTATACCTTAGTTCCTTTATTTGCCAAATGACAGCATTTCCTTTACTTACCTCATAGAGTTATGAGGATAAAATGGAAATATTTTGAAAACATTATTATATATTAGGTAGTGGCATTAGTATAGCTTCTACCAACTATCTACTTTAGAAATGAGACTTACCAATTTATAGTTACTGTGTGAGATCTTTAAGAATGGAAGCCAGTGACAATCTGAGGTTGCTTTGGTATATGGTGCAGTGACTGTGTATAATGATAGGTTACACACTTCAGCCAGATACTTTATGTATACTATTTGGTTTAGTGAGTTATATGTAACTAGTCTGTCAACCATTTTATTCTTATTTTTCTTTCTGTAACTATTCTATTCTTGACTTATGAGTTTGCCATGAAAATGCTTAACTTTCAAAACTTTGCCTGAAAGGAGTTCATCTGTTCTGAGTACCTCCTCTCCTACTCTGAATTCCTCCTATGGTCATTCAAAAGCCTATTATCCTAACTCTAATAACATTTTTTTCATCTATACGTTAACGAGGGAGATGGTCTACCAGTTAATAGTTACTGAGAATTCCATAGAATTGTTACATGTTAATGTGAAATTAATCTTTAGGTAGGAAACACAGAATAACATAAGTATTTTTAGAAACATAGGTACTGACACACTGAATATCTTATAGTTTTTGTTTAATTTGCTATTTTGTCTTTTTTTTAAGTAAAAATGAAAAAATCTGAAAATGAATGGGATCAAATTCTTCTACTTCATTATTTTTTTTAAATTTTTAATTTTTTTAAAATTTATTTTTTTTTTATTTTTAGTTTTCAACATTTACTTCCACAAGATTTTGAGTTCCAAATTTTCACCCCATCTTGCCCCTTGCCCCACCCCAAGATGGCATGCATTCTGAATACCCCTTCCCCTAGTCTGCTTTCCCTGCTATCTCTCCCTACCCCTTCCCCTTCTATTTTCCTGTAGGGCAGGATTTATTTCATTATTTTCCTTGAGCAACTTATAACAGGGGTGTTTTGCATACAAATGAAATAAAAACATTATGAAGTTCTTTTGAAGAACTTAAATCCAAAGTATAAAGAAATAGCTTAGATAAGGTTATATCCAATTTCATTTATTTTATTATCTTTATTTACTTCACCTATTCTGAATAGATTTATCTTTGAGAGGTAACTGCTATTTATAATTTTCCACAAGGGTGAGGTGAGAAATAGTAAAATCAAAGATCTGTCATTCAGGTAAGAAGACAATTACCTTAACCACCTGGTTTATTCATTTAAACTATTTTCAACCTGGTCCAAATATTTTTGTTACATGAATGACTTTTAGCCCTAATTTTAAATGCACATTTTTCCAAAATGAAAATTTCCCCATAAATACACATAGTGTTTTCAAAGAGTGTGTTGAAAATTTGGAAAGTCAATGACTCTGCCTCTGTCAAGAACAGTGTTCAGATAATGATTCTGAAACATTCCAGTCAGCCTAAGGTGATTTGTAAATGTGTCATTCCTTGGAAAAAAGTTGCAGGGAAGAAATGGTGATATAGGTGCTATTTCACCATAGCCCTCTGAAGTTGATTTATACATGATCATCTGAGGTTTTGACAATGTAGTAGATGTATGGAGCGAAGGTGGATCCAACATACAGGAAAATACAGGATTGCCTGGATTTACACAGGGAGGAAGGTCTATAGGCTTTGGTTGTTTCTTTGGTGGCAATTTCTTCTTAGTTGAAGTAATTTTCTTTTCCTAAAAGATAAATACATCATATTATTCCCAGAAAGTTTGGTATATAGGCCTACTCTACTTGACAAAGTCAACGCAGTAAATATTAAGTGCCCACCATGTGTAAGGCATTTTGAGAAGTTCTGGGGATACAAAAATACAATAGTTTCTGCTCCCAAAGAGCTTACATCCTACTTATGTAATGTAACATGAAGACATAAAGATAAGACAGGATAGGGAAGGAATGGGGAGACAAGTTGTTCTTGGAAAATTTAAGGGGGTGAAGAGAGAGCACTACAAGTGCAGGGAGGGAAGATTAGGGACAGCTATACAACACAAGGAACATCTAAGCTAAACTTTAAAGGAAGAAATGGATTCTGAAAGGTGAAGATGAGGAAAGTGCATTTTTAGGCTTGGAACACAGTTTGTATATATGAACATAAGTGGAAGATATGTTATATTCAGAAAACAGCTAGTAAACTTGTTTGGCTAAAACATAGGGGATATACATGAATGGAGAGTAATATGAAACAGAGACAGAAAAATAGCTTGAAGTCAGATTGTAGAGGGCCTAGAACCTAGAAGGGAGCCACTGAAGGTTTTAGAGCAAGAGAGTAAGCAACCTATTCAGCCCTGTGCATTAGGAAATTTGACACCTATATGGAGGGGGATTAACTAAAATGGGAGAGATTAAGGGCAGGAGGAACAATTATGAGGCAGTTATGAGGGTAGTAGCCCAGGTGAGAGCTGATAAAGTTCAGAACTAGGGTGATAGGCATGTGAGTGGAGAGAAGGGATGGATTCTAGAGATATTGTGGAGGTAAAATTGACAAGATTTGACGACTAAATACAATTTTTTAATTAAATTTTATTTTTGTCAATTAACAAAAATCTATTTTCTTTCTCTCCTACTCCCCACTGGAAAGATAAAAAAGTAAACCCTTGTGGAAAAATAAAAAAGTAAACCCTTGTGACAAATATGCATAATCAAGCAAAATGACTTCTTGTATTGGCCGTGTGTGTGTGTGTTTCATCCTGCTCTCTGAGTCCATCTCCTTTGTCAGGAAGAATATTTCATCACTGGTCCTCCAGACTTACAGTGGTCATTGCTAGATAAGAATTCTCAAGGCTTTCAAAGTTATTTGCGTTTACAGCACTGTTGTTATTATACAAGTTATTTTCCTTGTTCTGTTCACTTTACTCTGCATCAGCTCATATAAAACTACCCAGGTTTCGTTGAAATTGTTCCTTTCATCATTTCTTAGAGCACAATAGTATTCTATTACATTCATATAATCATAATTTGCTCAGTCATTTTCCAACTGATAATATCCCCTTAGTTTTCAGTTCTTTGCTACTACAAAAAGACCTTCTATGAATATTTTCATAGTATGTATGGGTACATTTTCTGTTTCTTTGATCCCTTGGGGGTTATAGGTCCAGTAGTGGTATCACTGGGTTAAAGGGTATGCATGTAGAGTTTGATGACTTTTGGGTCATAGTTCCAAATTGCTTTCTATGCTTTCTAGAATGGCTGCACCAACCACAGTTCATTAAGGTACTTGTTTTTCCATAATTACTCCAATATTTGTCATTTTCCTTTTTGTGGTCAACTTTACCAATCTGATGGGTTTGAGATAGAACCTCAGTGTTACTTTAATTTTTGTTATTATTTCAGTCATGTTTGAATCTTTGTGACTCCACTTGGAGGTGTTTTTTTTTTCTTTTTTTGCAAAAATACTGGAATGGTTTGCCATTTCCTTCTCCAGCTCTTTTTACAGATGAAGAAACTGAGGCAAACAGAGTTTAGTGACTTGCCCAGGGTCACACAGCTAGTAAGTGTTTGAGGCCAGATTTGAACTCAGGAAGATGGTGAGTCTTCTTGACTCCAGGCCTACCATGCTATCCATTGTGCCACCTAGCTGCCCATTACTTTGATTTCTCTAATTATTAGTGATTTGGAGCATTTTTCATATGGCTATTAATAGCTTTAATTTCTTTCCATTGAAAACTGCCTATTCATATCTTTTTTGACTGAATCCATAAAGAGAGAGAAAAGTCAAGAATAATTTTGAGGTTATGAATTTGTGTGACTGGGAAATTGGTAGTGCCTTCTTTGAACATAGAGAATTTTGAAGGAAGAGTGGGTTCAGCTGGGACAATGAATTTAAACACGGCAAATTTTAACTGTGGATGGGATACGTATACATGTATGTAGCAGGCAACTGACAATACAGACTGGAATTCAGAAGTTCAATTAGGGCTAGATATATAGATTTGTAAGAAAACCTGTGTAGAAGATAGTAATTGAACCTACAGAAGCAGATAAGATCAGCAAGAGTAAAAAAAAAATAGAAAAGGGTGGTCTAAAATAGATTGCATGGTAGACACTTGTACTTGAGGTACAGAAGAAAAATAATGATTTAGCAAAGGAGAGTTGAAAAGGTCCAATCCTGAAAGAAGAGCCAGAAGAGAGCAAAGCCATGAAGTTACAGGAAGAACTAGGGATGGTAAAGTAGTGATACATAATTTTCTAAGTTGTACAGTGTGAGGGAGAGTGAGAAAGTGAGAAAGTTAATTAGACCATGGTGATGTTTGAGGGAGCAGTTTCATTGTGGTGGGTATAATGCTAGATTACATGGGGAAAAAAATGAAGTGGATGATGAGGAAGTAGAGATAGGAAGCATAGGTGAATTTTTCTAGGAGTTTAGAGTGCTGGGCATGGATTCAGGAAGACTCATCTTCCTGAGTTCAAATCTGGCCTCAGACATTTACTAGCTGTGTGACCTAAGGCAAGTCATTCAACCCTATTTGCCTCAGTTTCCTCATCTGCAAAATGAGCTGGAGAAGGAAATGGCAAACCACTCCAGTATCTTTGCCAAAAAAAAAAAAAAAGAAATCATGAAGAGTTGGACACAGCTGAAATGATCAAACAACAACAAAAAATTAGCAGTGGAAAGGAGAAAATGAAAGCTTGAGGAGATTGCAGCAGGGTCAAATGGAGATTTTTTTTTTAAGGATCAGAAGACCTTGGCATATTTGTAGGAGAGGGGGGAAAGAGATGGCAAGGAAAAACTGAAGATGAGAAAACAGAATAATGAATGATAATAAGGTTAGCCTCAGCAAGGAAAAAGACTACCTCACACTCTGAGACTGGTGCAAAAAAGGATAGGATAGGAGAATGGATAAAGAGATTTTTGAAATGTTGAGCAGGGAAGACGAGAGTTCAATATGGATGGCTTCAATTTTTTTCAGTAAAGTGGGTTGTCAGGTTATCTGGTAGGGAGATGTAGGAGAATAGTATCAGGAGCTTGAGGAGAAATAAAGTGAATTTGTTGGGAATACAGAGATAAAAGTGAAAGTCTTTCCCTTTGAGCAGAATGATGCTGAGGAATTTACAATCCAGCTGGGGGAGGCGACATAAAGGATTATGCAAATTATACACATGGTGATTCCCTAGAGAATGCAGTAGCATGAGGGGATAAAGAAACACTTCATGTAGGAGGTGGAGCTTGAGCTGAGCCATGAAGGAAACTAGAGTTTCAAAGAAGTGGATGAGGAGGGAATGCATTTCAGGCATGGGGATGCATTCCAGTGCAAAGGCACAGAGAGGCTATTTGAGTGCTGTGTATGAGGAACAATGACGAGGTCACCTGGGGTAAACTGTAGTATGCATGAAAGGGAGTTATGTGTAATAAGGCCAGGAAGGCTTTAAATGCCAAGCAGAGTTATATTTGATTCTAGAGGCAATAAGAGGTAGAGTTTTAAGTAGAGGAGTTACATGGTGAGATTTGGGCTCAAGGACAATCACTTTGGTTGGTGTGTGGAGCATGGACTGTGGTAAAGAGAGAGACCTGAGGGAGATCAATTAAGAGGCTATGGCAGTATTCCAGGCAAGACAGGGTAAGGACCTGGACTAAGGTTGCAGTCATGTAAGTGGACAAAAGGAAACATAGAAGTGAGGTTATAAAGGTAGAAATGGCAATATTTGGCAACACTGAATATATGAATGAGTGACAGTAAGGACTCAAGGCTTGATGGTACAGTGGATAGAGGACTGGGCCTGGAGTCAGGAAGATCTGTGTTCAAATCCGATCTCAGACACTTACTAGCTGTGTGATCCTGGGCAAGTAACTTAACCCCTATTTGCCTCAGTTCCTCATCTATAAAATGGGGACACACTGGAGAAGGAAATGGCAAACCACTCTAGTATCTTTGCCAGGAAAACTATGGACTTTGTCCATTGGTCATGTAGAGTCAGACATGACTGAATGCCTGAACAAGTGGATCTTGTTTACTAGAAGAATGGTGGTACCCTAGAGAGAAATAAAGAAGTTCAGAAGAGGGGCAGATTTAGGGGAGAAGAGAATTGAGTTCTGTTTTAGACAGGTTGATGTCTACAGGACATCCAGTATGAAATATCCAACAGACAGTTGGTGATGTGGACCTGGAGCTCAGGGAAGAGACTAGGGAAGTATGCATAAATCTGGGAGTCACCTGTTACATAGAGATGATAATTGAGCCCATCAGAGCTGGTGAAGTCACAGAGTGAGAAGGTATAGAGAGAAGAGAAGAAAGTACCCAGGATAAAGTTTGGTGTACACTAAAGATATCAAATATGTAACCTGTGGGCACTCCAGGTGGGGCCTGAACCAGATTAAAATGTAATTGGGAAACATTTAACAAAATAAATAAAATTTCAATAAAATATAGATGATGTTAATTTGTGGTTTTCTAAGTCTACATGCAGTCCACAGGGAATCTTATGGATGGTTTAGTGGCCTTGGTTTCTATTTGAGTTTGACACCGCTGGTGTACTCTCATGGTTGGGGAACATGATATGGATGACGATCAGCAAAGGAGACTAAGGAGTGTTCAAACTGGTGGAAAGAGAACCAAGAAAGCAGTGTAACGAAAACTCAGAGAAAAGAGCATATCTAGGGGGAGATGGTAGTTAATAGTGTTGAATACAGAAGAGAAGCAAAGAAGGATGAGGACTGAGAAAAAGTCGTTAAGTTATATAC